TTGAATCTGTATTCTCATCAGGTTGAACCGCCTGATGTAAGAACGAAGCCCCTCCTTCTCGCCCTGCTGAATTGTTCCCAAATCAAGGGTCGTTTTCTTCGCAGGGATGTTCATGGCGAAGTTGGAGGCAAATAAGTAAGCAAGCGTCCTGAAGCTGTTTACACAACCAGTCGGCAGGTTGCCGAACCATTGCTGTGCGATTCCCTTGAGAGTCGCTGGGAAACACTTGCACCAAGTGGGATCATCCAACCCTTGAAGGTACATCAGGTTGGTGAATGCCATCAGATGGTCTTCTGGGTTAGTAGTGCCGTCATAGGCGCCTACTAGTACATTTTTTACTTTGGCCGGCTGAGCGGCTTCAGTAATTTCCTTGGAGAAGGCCGACGGCTGTTCACCAAGTCTAAGCAACCGTAGCTGCCAGTCCATAGGTTGGACGTTTTTTGCTGCAGGTCCACCAAATGGAGGTGGCTGCATAAAATACTGTTGTTGCGGCACAAATGGTAAGTTTGGTACCGCCTGGGCACTATGAAAGCCGGACTGACGGGAGGTGCCGCCTGACTGACTCTCATGGTACGACTGAGTATGCCTCATCGAGGCATTTCGCAAACTGTCTTGAAAATTTGAAGTAGAAGCCGACTCTGACAATCGGTCACTCTTCTTCTGCTCTAGCAGTAGCCGAGCATCTGTGAACGTTTGCTTTGACCCGTCCGCCTGAATATGACGAACCGGTTTCCTATTTCCTGTAGGATAACGGAATTTTGTGAAATCAAGGGCAGGTGGCTCCCGCTTCCTAGATTTAGGATGAGGAGTCGCCTCTCGCCCTTGAACTGGCTTCCTCTTCTGTGAAGTGGAAGGCTTCTTGGCCGACTGCTCCTTGACTGAAGCAGGCGGCTTCTTGTTGATCAACTCTTGGATCTCTCCCTTGAAGTCCCTCATGAAGGTCATGAGTTCGTTCCTTGTGATGGGAGCAGACCCATCAGTCGGCTGTTGCCGAGCAGGCGGTGCGCCTGCTGGCTCGCTTCCTGTTTGAAGATGCTCCCGTTCCCTCCTTTTGGTATGACGGGTACGTCGGGCCCTTAGGGTCCCGTCTGGAGCTGTATGAGTTTCAACTTCAAATTCACTTTCGGTGTCATGGTCCGACTGAACTTAAGGGTCGTTTAGGGGACGCCTCTCTTCAGGAGTCGGTACAGACTTGGATGCCATCTCTGAAGTACTCTCCCCACAGACGGCGCCAAATGTTTCGGGGTTTTCTGATGTCCTGCGGGAGAGTTACAATTCCGAGACTGGAACCGGACGCCTGTACCTGCAAAATAACGGAGACTCCTGAGAGTTCCGCCTCCAACGGTCAAGTTAGTACCTGATTAAGGAGTAATTAATACGGAAATTAAAGTAATAAGACCTCTCTAGGTGAGAGTGTTTAATGTTGGTAATCTGCTTTGTTAGCGAGATTAGCCGGTTATTAGTGTTCCGTAATGTTTCTGTTCTTCTCTGTTCTTCAGGTGAGATTAATTGCTTGATCAATTGCTCTCTCAATTGCTTGATTCCTTTTAATGAGGATTAATTAAGTATTTATAGTCTTGAGAAGCGTGCCACTCTCTAAGTTTAGGGTAAACCTAGGGCTGACCGGGCCTCTAGACAGGATTGGGCCTTGTTGGCCGGTTTTCCCATTTGGCATGGGTGGACACGTGGCGTGCCTCGATTGGTCCGTAGAGGACGTATCTGTGATTGACACGTGGCAGGCTCCTATTGGCCTACGTGAAGGACACGTGGCGGAACCTGGTTGGTCCACTTGTCAGACGGTGATTGGTGGATAAAAATCCCCTAATCAGAAAGCGTTATCGGTGGATTTTTCTTCAAGTATAGAAAACCACCAAGTCGGCTTTCCTCAGGCTTGGAAAGCGTTATCGGTGGATTTTTTTTTTAAGTATAGAAAACCGCCAAGTCGGCTTTCCTCAGGCTTGGAAAACGTTATCGGTGAATTTTTCTTCAAGTATAGAAAACCGCCAAGTCGGCTTTCCTCAAGCATGGAAAGCGTTATCGGTGGATTTTTCTTCAAGTGTAGAAAACCGCCAAATTCCTTTGTCGGCTTTCGTCAAGCATGGAAGGCATTATCGGTGGAATTCTTCAAGTATAGAATGACACCAAATTCATATGTCGACTTTCCTCGAGTATGGAAAGTGTCATCCGATAGGTTTCTTCAAGCTTAGAAAACTACCAAACTCTTCAGCCGGCTTTCCTCAAGCATGGAAAGCGTTTCAACAAATGTCACTCGGTGGGTTCCTTCAAGCTTAGGAAGCTGCCAAATTCGTTTGTCACCAATACACTGGTGCCAGATACGTATCCTATCCCTTTACTCTTTTATTTGTGGAATTAACATTTTTTTGCAGGTATCGACGTATACAAAATGATTTAGGATCGCAGAACGTCTTAAATCATTCTCCGTCCCTATCGGCTACTTTGACTATCGTTTTTCGAAACTGACGTTTCTATAAACTCAGTCAAAGTGGGGGCTTCCGTAGACACCTAAAAATGTCTCCCCAAAACCAAACCCGATGATGAACAACCTTTCACCGCCACTATTGGTCGGGTTTAGTATTTAATCCCGAGAGTGCTTAAAAAATCGTATTTGATTAAATTCATATTTTTGAACGGTCCATGGACTAGTCTTGATGTTTGGTAAAAGCATAGTTTTAATTTCAGCCCAAACTTATTATTTAATTTTAGCCCAAACCTTTTTTATTTTATTGTTTTATTATTTATTTTTGGCCCAAACTTCTTATTTATTTTTATTTAATTATTTTCTTATTTTAGCCCAAATAATAATAAGTCAGAAAAGGCCCGAAATTATCAATCGACACTTAAAATGCCGAATGAAATTAGGGTTAAAAAATGTATTTAGACGGAAAAGTGGGCTGGAAATTCCCGCGCCACGGTAGACAGCCCCCGTGTCACGGGAATCCTTCCCGTCTGACGGTGGGGTTTCCCGTGACACGGGAAGTCTGCCGTGACACGGGACATTCCGTGTCTTTTCCGCGTAGACCCTTAACGCGTTTTCTTTCCCGTTTTCTGAAAAATTCCCGCGTCACACTAAAAATGTACCGTGTCACGTGAAAGTTTGCCGTCTGACGGTGGGACTTCCCGTGTCACGGTACAGTTTGTCGTGTCACGGGATACTTTTTTAGGGTTTTTATCATTTTAGGGTTCCGTGTGCTCCCTCAGCACATTTTCCCTATAAATACCCCCTCATTTCTGATGTACGAGGCATCAATTAATTCTCTGATTTATTTTTCTCTCTTCTATGCTTTAGCCTAAACACTAGCCTACCCTTTTCACTTCAAAATTCCTTCTTCAAGTGCTCAAAGGAGTCCATACTTTACTCGTGGTTCTGTCCTTAAGCCAAGGCGTGAAAGGTAGAACTGTTTGAGGGTTTGGCCCCAAATCAACTCTACTTTATTTAATTTAATTTAATTATTGTTTTATTATTTCCTTGAAGTTACTAACTCGTTTATTATTTTGTAGTTGCAAACAAACAGAATCAAAGTAAGAATCATGTTCCTTTTATTTCTATTATTTTTCTAACGATTTTATGTTGTTGGAATTGTGATTAAATTGCTTCCAATATTAATGTTTGTTCTATTATATTTATTATGATCACCACATTGCATGTTTAAAGGGAATATGTAATTGAAAATCACGCCTAATAAGATAATTTGGACAACCGGTTTAGGATCCTTTTTAATCTTGTTTTTAATTGAAGTGATCACCAATATTTTAGAATAATGTGTGCATTAATATTCAACCAATTTAGTTAAATAATAATTTGGAGCGAATTGAATATTTTGTTTGTATGCCTTTGAGATCAAAGGAATGCTTTTCAATATAAGAATCGAGTAGAGGCCAATACGGGCGAATGTGACTCTATGACTCACTTCGTACCATCATCTCCGATCCTCCTTTTGTGGTTCCGAACCCATATGGAGTTAGTAGTCTCATGGATTATGAATGAGGTGTAATCTTCACGGGTCAATCGTTGTTGCCTATCGTTGTCCCTTATCGTGGTTGCCTTAAATGATCCGTGAACGGTTCACAAGTTCCTTAAAAACTTGTTGGCGGCTCCCTACTTTATTTGTCTCTAATCGTATTATGTCAATTCCCACTTCCTAAGAGTGCCAAGCATATTCACAACATGCTTTTTACGTAGGCGCACTTCAAACGACGCCTACAGTAACTTTTAGCTAATTTTAAGGTAACTTTTTGCCTTTTTTTGGGTAACTTTAAACATAATACAAATTTTATATAAATAGACAACAAGAATAGTTTTTTATAAAGGTACATACAATCACTAATAATTAATTTTAAGTCATTTAAAATGTGATTCTTTACTAATAAAGCGTAGATAATTTTTATTTGTATTGGGTTACTTTTATTCATATTGGGGTAACTTTTATTCATTTCAGAGATAACTTTTGATCACTTTAAGCTATCTTTATAATGGATATACAATAATTATTGTACACCCGATTTTTTTAATAGTCTGTGAAGTTCAAATTATTAATAGTCAAAATTAATCAATAATAAGATTCATAGATCTTTTAGACACTTACCATTGCAACAAGGTTAAAAAGATACCCAAATCCCCCATTCCCATATAAGGCACTCATATAATCCCAAAATAAAAATAATAATTACCTACTTCCTCCGTTCTTTTTTACTTGACCCGCTTTGACTTTTACACTATTCACCACTCCTCCTTTGATCGTGTTTTGTGAATAATATTTAAATAAAAACAAATTCATGTAACATATTTTTAAATTCGTCTCAACAAGTAGTATCATAATATATAACTTTTATAATTTTACTTATCGAAAATTAAATTTATTGATCGTTAAAATTTTGCATTGGCAAGCGTGATAAAAGAAACGGGTCAAGTAAAAAAGAACAGAGGAAGTATAAATCATGATTTCTTTATTAAAAATAGATTCTTTGTACCAAACCCCGTAAAAATGTAAAAACAAAAAACAAGATCCCTTCATGTCAAAAATTCCCATTTTTTTTTTCACTTAGTAATAAGCATGTGGGGTACTTCCGACTCATACCCTTACTCATCTATAAAATCACATGCTCTTCTCTTCACAAAATCACATGCTCTTCTTTAAATTCTTCATATAATGCTACACTAGTTAACAAATTGACAGCAACGTAACCTCCAAAACAAAAATCTCTCAGAATATTTAGAGGTAGAACTGAAATTCTTGGGATATTTCTTTCTGTTCTTCAAATCCAGAAATATATGGCTACAAAAGGGTTGGTTTTGTATCTAATATCAGCCTTTTCTGTGGCAATTTCTTCTGTAATTTTCGTCACTCATTACCAAGGACGACAATTTCATCAAAATTCCAATCTTTCGTCGCTTAATTCTGCACTTTCCGACACCCAGAGAGTGTGGCCTGTATGTCCCCTGTTTATTTATTTATATTTTTCGATTATTTTTTGTTGATTTTGTTCTTAGAATTAATATGTGGGTGATTATATTCATAGGTTTTTGTGGGTTTAATTCAATTTTGTAGGAATTGGAATTTGGATGGAGAATTGTGGTTGCAACAATAATTGGATTTCTGGGTTCAGCATTTGGAACCGTTGGTGGGGTTGGTGGTGGTGGCATTTTTGTTCCAATGCTTACATTAATTGTTGGGTTTGATACTAAATCTGCTGCTGCTCTTTCTAAATGTACAATTTTCTTGCTATTTTTGTGTCTTTTGATTGTATTAATAAATTTCGGAAAAATTGGCGTAAACGACACCAACTATAGATTTTGTACACGGGGTAGCACTACCTATAGCGGGTGTATACCCGTGTAGGGTAATACTAATTATTATGTTAGGAAATGGTCTGAGTTATTGCACCCAAGTTATAGTTGGTGTCGTGTAGACGGTTTTTTTTTCTAGTGTTTTGTGTTACATGTTCTGATATGTGGATCTTTGGTTGGTAAATTTGGTGAGTAGGTATGATAATGGCAGCATCAGCATCATCAGTTTGGTACAATCTAAGAGTACAACACCCATCAAAGGATGTCCCAATTTTGGACTATGAATTGGCACTCCTTTTTCAGCCTATGCTTATGCTTGGTATCACTATTGGAGTTACTTTGAGTGTTGTTTTTCCTTACTGGCTTATTACAATTCTCATCATAATTCTCTTCTTAGGTTTGTACCTACTAATCCCATCAATTTTTTATGTTTATTTTTACTTGACTAACTTGCATTAATTTTCTATTTTTTGTTTAGTTTATTGTGTAATGATTAGATTTTTTGGTCAATGTTTGGTTAATTATTGATAGATTACTTGTGTAATCCGTTGTTGCGCTTTTCAGGCACGTCATCAAGATCGTTCTGTAGGGGGATCATTATGTGGAAAGAGGAGACTCTTTTGAATGTAATTAAATAATTTGTTTGTTCAGCATAATTGTGATTAGTTTATTAAAGTGAGATTCAGTTTTTGACTTTTGGTTATTCTTAGAAGTTCTGTTGGATAATTTAATCTTTTTTACTTTGCAGAAAGAATTGGCAAAGCAGAGGGATACTTTTGTTAACTCTCGTGGTGAACGTGAGTAACTAAGGATATTTAATACTTAGTAGTTATTTAACGGATTAATGATTTTCTTATCATAAGAGGTTTTTCGCTTGTTTGTTTATTTGCAGTCCTTATCGACACAGAATATGAGCCTTTATCCCCTAGGGAAGAAAAATCGCTCATGGTTAGTCAAATATGTTCTTACTTGCTTATATTTTTGATTTACTGTCTGGTTGTTTGGTTGACGTAGAACAACACTAGAAAACAGAAGTAGGGAGTTTTTTTTTCTAAAACACATGAAGTGTTACCAAGTTGGACAAGTTTTTATAAGTGGACTGTGAAATAGTTTTCTCTCAACTTGTAACTACTTCCTATGTGCAACCAAATGACCACTAATAAGATTGTTATTGAACATTTGAACCCTATGTTGTTGATGGAACGATGTATTCCTAATATGGTCCATTTATGTGCAGCAAACAATGTCCGCTAATCTAAAATGGAAAAGATTATTACTGCTGGCTATTGTATGGGTTGCTTTTGTGTTCTTTCAAATCCTTAAGGCAAGCAACTTCTTCATTGTGCTTATTGTTTTAGTTGTGTATTTCCTATATGATCCATGGCTAATGGAATTTGATAATTTGTTCAACAGAATGATATTGCAGCCTGTTCCACGTGGTATTGGGTGCTTACTCTTGTCCAGGTACTGCCTCCATCTTTACGGCATAACATGTTTGTTCACCATGTGCTGTTTGTCTATAGCCTCACACATCCAAAATACAAAAACCATTTTGTACTAGATTTCCTTTTATATGTTTCTTTTTTAATTATTGGTCTTGTTTCCGCAGTTTCCTGTAGCTTTCGGAGTTTTTGGTTATGAAGCACTTAAATTATATGAAGAAGGGAAGAAAAGGAAGATAGCTGGTAACACCGAGTCTGTTTGTGAAGCTTCCATTGAATTTACACCCATCACTCTATCCTTTTGTGCACTTTGTGGTCTTCTTGGAGGCACTGTTGGTGGTCTTCTTGGATCTGGAGGCGGGTTCATCCTGGGCCCACTTCTTCTTGAAATTGGTGTAATTCCTCAGGTATGTATCAATCATCAATTAGTTATTATTGTCTTATTATGTGTAAAAGTTGATAATCTAATCAATGTATGAATAGTATCTATTATAGTCTAATAGACATAATTATTAATTTTGTCTAAGAATAAAAAGTGATAATCTCTTTGCCTATGCCTGTTTGATTCTGTTTTGACTCTTATATGAAGTAGCCATGAGCCCATGTGGTTTGTGGCATGAAAGGTCTAAACTGGACCAGTTGTCAACTTATTCCAATTTTCTCAAAATTCCCCTTAATATGTCTCGCGATGTTTTTTTATTTTTTGTTTTTTTATCTTGTGGTGATGAATTGACCTTCTTGGAAGGGTTATTGTCTAATTGGTCATATGTCAATTTATAGCATTTACTGTTACAAGTAATCAAAAATGTTCCTTTTACTATGTATTTGTCCCATATTTAAATTCGGTTTGTGATCTTTCTGTATCCTGTCTATACATGTGAATACTCTTTAGTGATGCCAAGTGTGGATGGCCCATTTTGATGAAACCTTGTCAAAGTTGTAGTTCTTGTGGATATATTTTACCAGAATTGTACTTTCCCTCTAGTACCCTATGTTGTTCCTTATGAAACATTTTGTGTTATAAACACTAGTAAATATCCAAAAACTTTTGAACATAATAGCATTGTTGAGATTATGGATAACTTATTCCAATTTTCTAAGAATTTCCCTTAACGTGTCTCGTGATTTTTTTTATTTATTTTTTAAAATCTCGTGATAAATTGACCTACTCGGAAGGGTTATTGTCTTATTGATCATATGTCAATTTATAGCATTTACTGTTATAACTTGTAAGTAAACAAAAATGCTCATTTACTATTTATTTGTCCCGTAATTTATAGTCCTTTTCTTAATTCGGTTTGTGATCTTTTGTATCCTGTCTATACATGTGAATACTCCATAGTGAGGCCAAGTGTGATGCCCAATTTGATGAAACCTTGTTAAAGTTAGAAGTTCTTGTGGATATATATTACCAGAAATGTATTTTCACACTAGTACCTTTATGTTGTTCCTTGTGAAACATACTTGTATGTTAATGTGGAGTTTTGTATTACTAAAACACTAGTGAATATCCAAGAATTAATAAGTGTTCTAGTTTGAACATAATAATGTTGTTGATATTACGGTCTTACGGATACTTGGAGCAAATTTGTGGACTTAATCCTTTAAGCTGATATATATATATATATATATATATATATATATATATATATATATATATATATATATATATATATATTTTAAATTCGATTTTTTGTTTCTTTTGTAATAGGTGGCTAGTGCAACAGCAACTTTTGTGATGCTCTTCTCGTCGTCCTTGTCTGTGGTGGAGTTCTACTTTCTCCATAGGTTCCCATTCACATTTGGTATATTCCTTATCCAATCTTATCATATGTCGTCTACATCTATTGGGAAAATTCTCTAATTGGACCATAACTTTAGAGTCGTTTTAACTTCTGAAATACTGTTTTCGATTGTGTAAAAGGATAGAATGCAATAAAGCCAATTTATGCTAAAAAGAACTCTTTTAAAGGCTCTCAATGATAACTTGACCTATTCACTACTATTTTCTTTATCTGGTATTTGTGGTCCGATGTTCTTTGATGATGATACGAAATTCCTTGCAGCCTTGTACCTCATGTCGGTTTCTCTTATGGCTGGCTTCTGGGGACAATATTTTGTGAGGAAACTAGTTGCTTTCCTTAAGCGAGCTTCCCTCATTGTCTTCATCCTCTCCGGTGTTATTTTTGCCAGTGCTTTGACAATGGGTAATTTTTTCTTTCAGTAACGAAATTCAAACCTGTATCCTTAATATATACTGGTAATCATCTTGTCATTGTAACATATTGTTCTTTCCACTTTTAACTTATGAAATTCAATTTGTGCAGGAGTGATTGGGATTGAGAAGAGCATTCAGATGATAAATAATCACGAGTTTATGGGTTTTCTGGATTTCTGCTCGAATCAATGATTGTGAACGAGAGTTCATGGCTGTACAAATTGGATTATTTTAAAGTTAATCTGAACAGAAATGCAAAATTGAATTATTATTAATTAGTTGGCGTGGTTAGTATGTAAAGCAATGCGAAAATGTTGGTCAATGTCTTGTTGACGAACTACCCGGATCATTGCTGTGAATCAATAAGGGTATTCTTTGTTTGAATTGAGTGACAGCTACTAGTTGACACTATTAGCAGTCTTTAGTATAGCTGAAGTTTGATTGTAATTAGCTTCTTTTATTCATTCTGAAAATAGTCATATTGACTTATAGTTTATCACATCTTTGCAACCCTCATTTATACAGATTTAGAATTGTACGATGATTCAAGTTTTGATTTATGTATACCTATAATACTGAGGTTCAAAAAACCCTCATTACATAGTAAGAAATCGAATGATGCTATCATTTGATGGAGCAAGTTTTGGGTGAGTTTGTCTGGCACTTGTGAAATGTTATAAAGTTTCTTCTTATAGAAATTAGAAACTGTAGGAAGCCATCTATAAAAGGCACTAGTACAGGTTATTGATTAGGTATAAGTGTATAAGCAATTCTCTACTATCAGCTATTTGGCGAGGGATTGATTTCCATGCTGAGATCTCATGTGTTTGGTGACTTTGGTCCCCCGAAATTATTGCCAAATTATTGGCGTTAAGTGCATCTACCTACCATAGTACCATATAGCTTGAAAAGTAGTTGGGCCTATCCGCTAAAAGCATATGGATTGAGCCAAGTGGCATAAAAGTCGTTTGAATTCAAATTCAATAAGATATACTCCCTCCATTTTGTAAGTCGTATTTATAAAAGGATTGTTTTTAATAGTTTTGACTATACTATTACTTTATAGGCTCCATATTATGTATTTTTGAAAACACAAACTTAGGGCTTGTTTTCATACGTTGAAATTCAGTTCACTTCAGTTTAGTTCAGCTCAGCTCAGTTCAGTTCAGTTCCGTTCAGCTCCTAATATCCTTCTCTTATAAAATATTCAGTTCATTTCAGTTCAGCTGAGTTATTGACATGAAAAGTAAATTCTCATGCTAAGCTACATTTGTGGATAATTATTTCATTTAAAAAATTCCTAAGAAATAATGGTCATGAATTGTTTGGTTGTCATAACTAATATTTGTAGAAGTATAGAAGACTAGAAGAGTGCTAGGTGCACACAAAGGTGGTGGTTTTTTTTTTTTTTTTTTTTCATTTTAAAATCTTAAAATGAGTAAAATAAAAAAGAAAAATAATAAACATAACCCTAAGGGCTATGCATAAGTAAGGGTGTAAATGAACCAAGCTGATCAATAAAGTACTCATGTTTGGGCTCGGTTGCAGCTTGTTCATGTACGTTTATTTAATAAATGAGCCGAGCTTGAACAAATTTTGAAGCTCGTTTAATAAATGAGCTTGAATACGAATATAGATATGCTCGTTCAGATAAGTTCATGAACAACTCTTTTATTTATGTTCATGAATAATTGATTTATTTACAATTGTTAATTTAGTTATTAAATTTATAATTAAGCTACAATTATTATGCTAATTTTGCAAATTTCAAATATTAAAAGTATAAAGCTCATTTATTGGAGAAGCTTGATTATAATTAAGTTTGTTCATGAAAGGCTTGTTAAATAAAAGAGTTGTTCACGAAATGTTCGTGAACATATAATGTACTAAATGAGCCTAGCTTGAACAGATTTTTGAGCTCACTTAAAAGCTCGGGATCGTGCTCGAACTCGTTAAATGAACTTGAACATGAACAAGCTAATGCTCATCGGCTCGGCTTATTTATTACACCCCTATGCATAAGAAGCTAAAAAAAGAAAATATTGAAGATAAATTACCATTAATTACACCGATGCATGAATGTTCACCCGAATGTATATAAAAGATGTTTGAGGAAAGATAGCCTATATATTTCATGTTTTGTGAGAGGTTTTGATATTTATGAATTTCTAAGTTCTCCGCTTTTATCTTATTGTCAACCAAACAAATGTCCACTTACAAGAGTTACAACTTAGTGAATTTTCACTTCCCACGTCATTGAAGATAAACCAATCAAATACTAAGGTATATATAAGACATGTATAACAAGTTTTATTTTTTATTACTAAATTGTTATATCCACTTACAAGAGTTACAACTAAGTGAATTTTCACTTCCCACGTCATTGAAGATAAACCAATCAAATACTAAGGTATATATAAGACATGTATAACAAGTTTTAACAAGTTTATATATATATATATATATATATATATATATATATATATATATATATATATATATATATATATATATATATATATCTTATATAAGAACCAATCTCAGCCTTTTATTAGTTTTGATCTAACCATCTAAAATGATCCTTTATTAATGACATTTCTGTAATTTTGAGGAGTTTATATTTAGAACATAGAAAAAAAAAATTTAGAACATAGGCAAAAAAATTTAGAAATAGGCAGAAAAAATTTAGAACATAAGGAAAAAAAAATTCAAACATGCAAAACTTTAGAACATAAGTAAACAAAAATTTAGAATATAAGAAAAATAATTTAGAACATAAGTTGAAAAATTAATTTATAGCATAGGAAATAAATTTATAACATAGACTTAAAAAATAATTTAGAACATAGGAAAAAATTTAGAACATAAGCTGAAAAAATAACTTTGAACATTTGAACAAATTTAGAATATAAGCTAAAAAACAAAATTTAGAACATAAAATATAATTTAAAACATCAGTATAAAAAAAATTACAGTAGGATATTGAAAAACTTTAGAACATAGGCAGAAAAAAATTTAGAACATAGGAAAAAATTTAGAAGATAAGGTGTTTTTACATAAGAAAGGATTCTTATCGAATCCCTCCCTTATATATTTGGTGTATAAAGAGCCACTAAGAAATGGGGTGAGAATCTGTTTCGGGTATTTTTGTGATCTCCTCGGATACTGGTCACGCTCTTCAGGCAATGAGACACGGACAGCTGCAAAACAACGAATATTCCTTTACCGGAATATTCGCCTCCGACGATCAAGTTAGAGATCGGGAAATGGAAAGTTTAGAGAGAGAAAGTAGAGAGAAGTTAGAGCTCTTTAATGCTCTTTTTTTAGGTTATGTCATCATTTTTTTCCTCCCATCATAAATGATTGGGGTATTTGTAGGGGTGGAAACTTGTGCCCCTTTAGGGTTTGTACCCTAAAATTACGTGATGTGATTGGCTGTGCAATCACGCGATGCCACGTGTAACATGGGCGCAGTTTTGCGGCTTTCAGGGATATCTCTCGGAATTTGGGCCCTGATGTAATAAGGGCCCTTTCTCTTGCTGATTTCAGGTGCTCTTAAGGACATCTGACATGCGTCATCTTCCTGTAGGGACACGTGTCGCTCTTTGACTGGGCCACGTGTCACTACGGGATTGGACCACGTTTCTTGGGGTTATTTTTACCCTAAACATTTGCCCCTCAAGGGGGGCTCGTATGCTTACAGGCTGCCTCCCTTGATCCTCTACTCGTCTTAATGCGTCCGAGTTTACGGAGATTTGAGCTTGTATGTAGGGGCAGACAGATCAGGTCCGCCAATTGAAGGGGCGGACGCTTTTTAGACCGAGAGTCGCGTCTTGTCCGCATAGAATTTTACCCAGACTGATAAGGTCTAGAAATTAGGCGGCCGGATCTTGCCACCTAGGCTTTTGGAGAAAGGTGCGGACGATATGCCCTTTGAGGTGGAAACTTTAATCCCGTTAACTGAGTCGTCTATTTGGACGCGCTGTTAGTCGTCCGCCTCTTTTTTCATCCAAATTGACGGATCCCCTGTCACGACCTTTTGAATTCTAGGTCAACTTTTTCAAAAAGTATCCGTTTAAATTCCTGGGCGGGAAAGATGGATTTACCATTTTACCCCAATAAATTTGCCTATAAATATGAGGGGTTTGACTTCATTTTGGCACTTTACATTCTTGAGAATTCTAGAGAGAAGTCAGAGCATATCTAGAAAGAGAAAGTGATTTCCCTTGAATCTTCAAGAGCTCCGCCACATAATTTGAGTTTTACGGACATTTTTTGAGTTTTCCGGTCAATCTTTCAAGACCTTCAAGAACTTACTAAGTTTTCAACACGTACAGAGGTAGGCCGCCTGCTTTCTTTTCCTTGTATTTTATTTTTCTTTTCTTCTTCTTCTTCTTCTTTTTTTTTTTTTAAAAAAAAAAACCTGGCTCAACACTCGGCTTCTCCGTTTCTCCTCATGAGGTCGTCCGTTCGCCTGGGACTGAGGAGTCTAGAGTGGACGGAGACGAGTTGTCTCCTTTATGGAGTGGGTCCATTTCTAGTGTGTTGTAATACCCCGTATTTTTAATGTATTTTATAAATTATTTATTTAATTATAAAATATGTTTTGGGTCAAACTATTTTAATTATTGAATTATAGATAAAGCAAGTATTTATATTTGGTTCAATAAGTATTTAATCCAAACGTAGTCCATCTTTATTGAACCCAATCATCTTATTTTTACCTTTGGGCCACCTACTTCATCATTTAAGTCCATTATTTTTATGAAGCCCAAACCTACCCTAACCTACTCTACACTATAAATACTCTACTTATCCCCAAAATTTTACCACCCAAAAAGGTCAAATGGTCAAGGTAAGCTATTTTCTTTTTATTCTTTCTTTCTTCTTTTCCTTTTTCCTTTTCTCTTCTTTCTTTTCTTATTTTTTTTCCTTTCTTTTGCTTGTTCTTTCACGCTGCCACTGCTGCCCACCAACCCACCGCCGGTCTGCCACCACCTGCCACGCCGCCGCCGCCGGCCAGCAGCCGCCCAGCTGGCCGGCCACCACCCACGGTGGATCTTCCCTTCTCTCTCCTCTTTTATTTTGTTTTAATAATTACTCCTATAATATATACTTTGGGGTTTTGATTTTAATTGTTTAAACATGATTAGTATGTTTGATAATTATATTTTAATGATTAAATATTGTAAATTATAAAGTGTTAAATTTTCAGATTTTATGAAGTATTAAAAGTTAGGATTTTAATTATTAAAGTGTTGATTTTTAGGGTTCTAACTCACAATTGATTTGGGGGTTTTATATACCCATTGATTGTAAGTGGTAATAAAGCTTAAAGATTGTATCTTTATGGAGTTTTAATGAAATTTTAATGGGTTTTTGTTAATAGAATAATGCTGGAATTTTTATTTACATACTACTTTTGTGTATTAATTAAAGGGAGTTGATTACCCATAAGTAGAGAATATTTTAAGTGGTTTTAATATAATTTTCAGATTTTTTTTAAAGGGTTTAAGCCTTAAAAAGTATGCTGGAATTTTTATATGAACACTATAATTGAGTTTTCACCTTGTGGTTTTAATTATTCTCTTAATTAAGGAGAG